GCCTATGGAAGGCATAGGAAAGTAGCCAAGACAATTCTCAAAAATAATTTAAGCTGAATTTTTCTCTCAAGTTGTTATTTGCCATTTTTGTTTTAAATTATGACCTTGGAGATTTTCCACTTTTCCCTTTTTATATGCCTTCAAATTTATTTCTTATTTTTTTTCCTGTTACATGATTATTTCTATTTTAACTTACACTTCCCTACAATACAGAATATTTCTATTTTTAACTAATATGGTTGCCTACATTTATAAACATGTCCACATGCTTATGTTTCCAATTGCATTGTGCTTTAGGAAATTTAGTTTCTTAAAAATATGGGGTCATTTTCTTATCTTAGTGCCAAGCTTCTGAGTGACTTAACACTAAAAGGTTTTCAAAACCTTGGTTTTAAAATAAAGAAATTGCACTGCGTTTTACCCAATTTTATTTAATAAAGTCTCAATTTTTGTTTCTCTTAAAAAAACAAGTTAACGACATTGCAAATGTGCATTACACAATCTCCCCATGTCTCAGAGCGGAGGGATGTGTCCCCCTGGTGGAAGCTCCCATGTTCAGAGCAAGAGTCCCTGAGCCAATGGGAGCCATGACGTCAAGCAGGCCTGCAGCCCACAGTCCACCGACCCACTGTGACAACACATGGACCACTTACTTTCCTGACACTTGGGCAAAGTGATTTCTGAAGGAGTTTAAGAAATGCATCTTGTTTAAGCCATTAGTAAATACATGTGGAAGGAAAACAAAAGCGAGGATTGTTTTTAAAGTTTCTGATTTTTTGTACGCATGCTCAAGTAACTTATGAAATCTGGCCATTAAGTTTTCACACTGCCCTGAAACTCTGCAAGCAGTGAGGAAATGATGAGAGGACCATCTGAGAGGTTGAGATGAGCACTTCATAGTCACCTAAACTTTATGTTGCCTTGTCCGATGCTGCATTATATGGCTATCTGATAGAATTAGAACTATAGAGGAAATATTTTTTAAAAGTTTGGGGCAAAAGCATCTTCTCTTTGTAGGTGCTTTATTCAACACCCACAGCTAGCTAATTCTCTTAATGCACTGCATTTTTGTGTGGAAAGCTTATAATTGCTGCAACAGTGCACTTCTTTTCTCAAGAGTCTGTGTTGGTTTTATTTTCCTCTGAGTCTTTGTCCTGGGGATGAAATTGTAATTGTGGGATGTATGCTATTTACGTTGAAGAGTGTTCAGTAAATTATAGTGTGTGGAAGACTCAATTGGAACTAGAATGGAAAATAAGAAATAATCATTTGGGCCAGTCATTAAGCATCGGCAACACGTAAACAAGGAAATGTTAGCAAATAATTTACATGATAATGCAAAGTATTATAATATTTATCTAAATGTAAGAATCAGCCAGTTTTGGAAATTACTCAGGCATTTTCTATGTGAATGTTAGCTTTCAAGCAGGTTAGTAAACTTATCATAGCTGACCATGCCACAGTGTGCTCATTAAACATGTTTATTTTGGCTAAAGTGACTATTGATTGGAAAGGATTCCTGGTGTTTCCATACGATCACTCTGTTTCTCCTGCAGATACGGCTCAGAATTTCTAAAAATGTCATTCAGCAGTTACACCCTGAATCATATCCCCTGAAGATTTTTATTGCTGAACTTGAACTTTATTCTGTTAGTCTGCTCAGAGATCTATTTTCTTTTTTCAACTTTAAAAGCTCCTAATGGGCATTACAGTGGATCTTGATTTTGCAAAGTTGTACGAAAGAGTAGAAGCCGTGACTGAATGTTTGGTACAACATTATTTTGCCTGACTTTCTAAACAAGACACATGGGCTAAATACATTCCTGGAATCAAATGAAAGCTCCGAGCATTGGCAGGAGCTACGAGTAAATAGATTCCTAATTACTTGTCGTTGACAGTGGTATCTCTGAAATGCAACAGAAATGACCATTTGGAAGCTGTCATTAATTGGCAGGTCATCAAATATAAGTTATTCTCATTAATTTGGGTTTTGGTAAGTTAATCTCCTCCCCATAGTTGGAGGTGTCTGAGCAGGCGATAGAACTCTAAAAATTCACCCATATGCATGATCAATAATTAACTCCCTGAGGCTTCCAAGTCCTTATGTTAGTCGTTTGAGCTCTTCAAAGTATAATATGAAATGAAAAGACAACTAGTATTTTAAGCATCTACTAATACGGCTGATACTGTGCAAACTTTAGTATGAAGACTCAAAACCTCCATCCCAGTGGCAAAGCTATGTCATTTATTTATTTCTGAGGAGTAAATTGTTTAGCACAATACAGGGTAAAGCAGTATATAGGAAAACATCCTCTTTAGACAAAGGCAGAAGCTGAGTACTGTTTTATACTCCTTAAAAGTAAAAATAAAAAAAATAAAGCAAGTCCTAGCCGGTTTGGCTCAGTGGATATCGTGTCTGCCTGTGTACTGAAGGGTCCTTGGTTGGATTCTGGTCAAGGGCACATATCTCAGTTTCTGGCTCCTCCCTGGCCTGGGCCCTGGACAGGGTGCATGCAGGAGGCAACCAATTGAAGTGTTTCTCTCATATCGGTATTTCTCTCTCTTTCCTTCTCTCTTCCACTCTCTCTAAAAATCAATGGAGCTCTGGCCAGTTTTGCTCAGTGGATAGAGTGTCGGCCTGTGGACCGAAGGGTCCTGGGTTCAATTCCGGCCAAGGGCACATGCCTGGGTTGTGGGCTTGATCCCAGGTGAGGGGTGTGCAGGAGGCAGCCGATCGATGGTTCTCTCTCGTCATCAATGTTTCTATCTCTCTCTCCCTCTTCCTTCCTCTCTGAAATCAATAAATAAATATATTTAAAGTAAATAAAATAAAAATCAATGGAAAAATATCCTTGGGTGAGGATTTTAAAAAAAAGTGAAAAAAACATGACTCATGTGCCTTAAAACTTTACTAAATACCATGAAGTCAGCATTTTCTTTAATGTTCAATATATTTTACACTTTGAAAAGTATATATGCATCTTTCATTTACACCAAAAAGAAATTAATTGGATTAGGGTTCTAAACATGGTTTTCCAATCTGATACACCTGAAGATATATTCAGTGAGCGGCTCTAGAATCACCCCTAGCCCCAGAAGAGTTCATTTGGGGGCCACACCCGCCCCTTCCTCTTCTGGAGCAGAATTTCATGGTGAATAACCAGAAATGAGTGGAAGGATATGGGTGGAGAGAAGGAGAGATACATGCAGGGTAGAAGTAGATGTTTAACTTCCTTCCTGGATGTGTATGCATCCACATTTCCTAAACATTTTCACTAAAAGCCAACTGGCTCTCTTGAGTCACCGCACTACTTCTGCGTTATGTCCTAAAGGAGACCATTGTTGGGTCTGTTGACTTTAATCAAAATTGAACACTCTCTAAGGTAAGATGGCAGACAATTCTTAGAAGCCTGATTTCAAGGCCTTAGTGTGGTTTCAGTGAGGTTAGAGCTACAGAATTTAGACGATTATATGCAGCATGTAACCAATGCAGGTTGCCATACTGAAGACAGACACTGTTGAGCACTTGCAATGTGAAAGGGATTGTTTTGTTTGTTTGGGTGTTAATCCTCACGCAAGGATATTTTCCCATTGATTTTTAAAGAGAGTGGAAGGGAGGGGAAGAGACAGAGGGAGAGTAACATCGATGTGAGGGAGACATACCAATTAGTTGCTTCCCACAACCGCTTGGGGATCTAGCCTGCAACCGAGGTACATGCCCTTGATGGGACTCGAACCTAGGATCCTTCAGTCCACAGGCTGACACTCTATCCACTGAGCCAAACTGCTAGGGCATGAGGAGATTGTTTTAAGATTTTTCATTTATTATCTCATTTTAACTCTCAAAGCAACTCAATAATGTAGGTACTATTATTGCTATTTTATAGATGGAGAAACTGAGGCACAAAGAGGCTCACCAAGGAGCCCAACATCACACAGATACCAAGTAGAAACACAGAGATTTGAAGTGAACACACTGTTTAACAGTCCCATGTGCTATTAACCACTATGACATATTACTTCCCCAAGATTGGATATTGTGATACTTAAAAAATAACTTCAATCATCCCAAATAATTCCTGACAGATAAGACAGAATTCAGGAAATGCATTTTAGTCATTAGAAGTACATCAAAAGCTAAATAAAATGCTGATGACATTACTTTTCTGTTGAAATTTACCTACTCAGGCAGGCTTACCAGTATAAGGCTCAGGTTTTTTATTAAAAATGTATTTTAAATGTATTTTATAAACAGTTTTATTGTTTTAAAAAATATGTTTGCTTTTATTTATCTGATTTTTAATTATTAAAGTTCTTGTCAAATCTCCTCAGAGACACTTCTGGATATGCTGATCAATATTATAAATTCCTGCATGCAATATAAGTATTAATAATTAACCTTTCTTAGATGTGATACTGTATATTTAATAAAGAGCAATACTGATTTTATAATGATTTATGTTCTATTTTTCCTTTCATTAAAGGAATTAATTCTAAATCTTTAAAGCACTAAGACTCTTATTTTGGCATAAAACAACTTCATTTAGGCTGTGAAAAAAATTTTAAGTTCTATCTATTCCTAAAGGACTTACTTTAGCATTAGTTTCAGTCAAACGTTGTCTGTTTTCTTACCTCCTTGACTTCATGTGTTAAAATATTTCAAAATAAATAAATCTATCAAGAAATTGTCTTAGGTAAGTTCTGGGTGACAACGAGTTGGAACCCAGCTATCAACATGAGATATCTGAGACCCTAATCGTCATTTTTAACTTTACTGATAAAAAAGACTTCTGAATACATGGGGACATAATTTTTAGGTTGCTTTTTTTGTTTTGTTTTGTTTTTTAATAATCAATCTCTTCAGAGAGATTGCTATTTTAAATCTTTATTTTTAAAACTGCACCAGGTAAAAGTATATAATTCTACATTCATTATTAAAACACTTGTTTTATAGGTAAAGAAATGTGGAAAGTTGATTTCCCCCATTTTTATTTTTATAGATGTTCGAAGAAGAACAATTTATGAATACCACCGAGTAGAGTTACAAATGTCAAAAATTACCAACATTTCAGCTGTGGAGATGACCCCATTACCTAGTAAGTTAACATCTGAACACAACTAGGTGGGAAAATGATTTGCAAGTTTGACGATCTGGTCTGTTCACCAATAATAATAACATGGTGCTTGGCATGGACAGGCATCTTGCATGAATACAGGGATGGGTGGTTTGTTTTTATTTTGACTGAGCCATCATTATGGTTGATTTCTCCATCCTCCCAACCTGTCTGGATGACTGCATTCTCTCCTGTTTCCTAGCGTGCCTCCAGTTCAACGGTTGTGGCCCCTGTGTATCCTCCCAGATTGGCTTCAACTGCAGTTGGTGTAGTAAACTTCAAAGGTAAACAAGAATAATACAAAAAAATTTTGAATTTTAAAAAGACTTGCTGCTTCTGCTCTTCCATTAAATTTTAAATGTGCCAGGTGTGTTGATTATCAAGTGTGTGTGTAGTTAAAAAATGCCATGACCAAAAAGCATTAAAGAAATGCTTACACATGGAAATGTTTGTTTTTTCCTTTACCTGGTTGCTCAAAATTATCAAGAATCATCATGTCAATAAGGTTGTTATCTGACATACATTTGTAATCTCTATGGGGCTGAAGATAGGTGATGATTGCAATTGAAAAGTCTTTAAATTGATGCTTTTGGTCCATATTCTGCAGAAGGCATGGTATTAGATATCTTTACTACGACAGGGAGAATTTATTCTCAAGCACATGAATATTTTTAGAAAATACTGTAAATATCTCAAAGGTTACTAGCCAGGATGAAACATGTAGTCTGAGGGTGAGAAAGAGAGTGATACCAACTGGTTTTCACAATAGAATGGTTGGCTTTGGTCTGTGCTGTAACTGATTGACTTTGAAACTTAAGCTGACTCATGTCAAAGAGGGTTATGATTGTCATGCATGGTAAAGAGGATTTTTCAGTCCTTAGAGCTTAGAAGATTCTGAATAATCATTTGTTAGAAATACAGAGTGAAGACCTTTACGCATGTTTTGGTATTTACTCAACCATTTGTGCATGAATTTTGTCCCCAGCACTGGGAAAGCATCCGTGTATAACATAGACGTGGTCCCTGCCCCCCCACGGAGCTTAAGGTCTAGTTTGTGTGAGAGTAAGTCCCCCTCTCACCTTCAGAGTCTGTGATAAATCTGCTTCTCCCTCCAGGTGGAGAACCAATTCCTCAAGCTGTTAGTCAGTGCCTGTGGCCTCAGAGTTTTCTGCTGTAAGCTGTCTCTGTCTTATCATCTTGCTGCAGCATTTGCTGTAATGATAGAGGCATGTTCAGGAATATTTTAAAAGTTATCAGAGTATATAGAGTAGAATGCCATTTCTTTGATAACAAGCTTTAGGAAACATGTTTAACTTGCTAACTTTGGGGCAACCACTACATTATTCTGGATAGAACCATATCATTTATTATAATTTATGTTTTGTTTTCAATTTAACATGTTGTTCCAATAATTTCCTTTGGGCAATGGATTTCAAATAATGAAACAGCAAGCAGGCAATTAGCGTTCTTAAGAGTAGATTTTAACTAGCTGCATCTCCAGAGTGGGTGCTGTGGCTATTTATATTTATATTTTGATGACATTTCACAAAAATTATATGCATGGAAGAAATTATTCAAAATCTGTTTAGATCATGACCAAAGTGAATCTAAAGAAATGGCATTTTAATATGCATATTTAAGTAATGCTGAGCTCAGACATGAAAAATGCCCAAAAGAATGAAGTAGAAATCTCTGGATTGGGGGTGTGTATCTAATTCAAATTCCAGTTTAGTGACCAGCTCCTCTGAGAAGTCTCCCTAAACCACAAGTTTGTGTGAAATGGTCAGCCCCTGTGTCTCCCTGGCATCCTGGACACACTTTCATCATTAGCATTTAGCTGTTCATTCGTCAGTCTCCTTCATGGGCTCTGGGTTTATTAAGCATGTTTTGCCCTTTTACCTACAGCACCTAAGAATGTACCTGGTGCTGCAGAAAAATAGATGAATGAGTCAATGAATGAATGAATGGTGATTTGGTCCCAGGTGAAGAAGTGATTAGATTTATCTGGGATTAAAGGGCTTCCCAGGATTAGGGGCCTGCAATGCGGAAACCAGGAAAGTCAAGGAAAAACCAGGTCAAGGTTGCCACCCAGCCAGAGTACTATTAGGAAAATTCTGGACTGAAATAATGTTTTGGTAATTGAAGGTTTGGGACATTAGTCTATAAACCTATATTCTGCTAACCTTTTCATTATGGTTTTAAAACATCCTGTTGGTGGAAATATATGTTTCAAGTTCCAAACAAGCAATTTTGGCAATAAGATGACATCCACAAATTGGAAACTGCTCTGTACTATTAATATTTTCATTGAATTGAGAGATTTCTCTGCCAGTCATTGTGCCAGGGAATTTGCAAATGTACTTAACTTGTACAACATTTTTACAGCAGGTACAAGAATCTTCTTCACAGCCTGAGAAATGGTAGACATACTGCTGAAAAATCAATATTTTTATAATTGATATTGCACAAAAGTGATAAAGTTTTTATAGGCATAAAAGAATGCAGAAGAGACTCAAGCAAAAGATAAGACTATTGTATGTTATTGAAAGCATAGTTTTTTTTCACAAATAATAGAAAAAAACTAAGGTCCCTGGTGAAGCATATGAATGACGAAGGAACTCATCAAATAACACTACTAAAAAAAAAGGTATGAGTTTTCTGCATGTTATAACTTAATGTTTTGTTGAATACCAAACTCTGGTTTAAAATCTAGGATTTATTTTTAGTTCTTCAGCAACCCAGTTATATACAAAATAAAACGTGCCTAATTAATTGGTTTAACTATGGCTCATTGCACCTTTGTTTAACTTAATTTCCCCACTGCCTTTTATTAATTTCTCCTTTGACCTGTGAGCTTCAAAACTGGGCTTTTGCTGCCTGGAAGCATTTCCCCAGTCTTTAGAGCTTTTATTAACAAATTCATATAAACAAGAGAGGTCTTATCTGTAGCAGCACAAAAGATGCCTCACAGATTTTCGTTTCGTCCTTCTTATATTCTCCTTTGTTCTCATTTATCCCTGAATAATAATCAGTTGATAGTGATTACTGAAACTCTCGAGATGGGCTTGCTTTAAGAAGATATGTTCAATTTGTTTGTTTATTTCCTTTAATTCTTATTCTTCAGGGAGCAAAAAACTAAGGTAGAATGTTTGTAATGGCTTACCCAAAGTACAAAGGAAACTGGGTCATAGGGACATATACAAAACACCATCAAAAGTATTTACCTAGAATAGATGGCCCACTACTTCTAGGTAAAAATGCTTTTTTTTATTCACTGCAAATTGAGAGGACCTGAATCAACCACTTTCAATTACACCTTATATCTTCACTCGTTTAACAAAACAATTTAGTGTCTCTATGTTGGAGTTACAATACTAGATTGTAGATTCAGCGATGAGTAAACAAGAAAAAATCACTTCCCTCAAAGCTTACATTTGTGGTGTTGGGAGATAGATTTTAAGAAAATAAATATGCAGAAAATATACTTAGTAAGGATGAGTATTATGGCAAAAAAAGTAAGCAGGGCAATGTAATGGACAATATAGGAAAATTGATAAGAATAACAGTTTACTTGTTGGTATCATGCTAAGCAACCTTGACTTTTTTGAGAGACCTTGGTTTCTTCAGCCATCGTCCTCCAAAAGTTTATTTTTAAATTGAAAATGTATTTTGGTTCTTAAAATAGTCATTCACTCATTCACTTACTTAAAAAGTTACTGAATGCTTTCCACACTAGTCTAAACATTGAGGTAGTTATAACAATAACCAGATATTAATCCGAGCCAAAGCTCTCATAGGGCCTTAGAGTTTAGCTTATTAAGCTGGAAAACAAATGAATTAATAATTAAACAAAAATGTCAATTGATGATGAGTGAGCTATTGAATATAAAAGAGCCAGTAGTTGCTTTCAACTGAGTGGCCAGGAAAGGCTTCTTGGAGGAAATTAAAATTAAACTTAGATCTGAATGATAGGGAACTAGCTACACTAAGGTGAAGGCAAAGAGTGTTTCAAAGGGACTGCTAAGTGCAATGGTCCTACAATGGGTTCAGGCTTGACCTGGGAGAAAAGAAAAAGGTGCAGTGAGTTAGGAGCATTGAGGGGTGAGCATGAATGGTATCAGATGAGATCAGAAAGTAGCAAAGTATCCTATATAATAAAAGGCTAATATGCAAATAGACCAAACAGCAGAACAACTGAACAATCAGTCACTATGATGTGCACTAACACCAGGGGGCATGTGCGGAACATGGCGAGCGTTGGCAACAGATGGCAGAGCACAGAACACGGCGGGTGTTGGCTGTGGTGGGATGGTGGAGCAGGTGAGTGGGGGCGCCAGACCAAGGCGGAGCACTGGTCGCTGTCATCGGGGCCACCCTCTGGTGGTTACTGAAAATTCTTTGCTCCCTCATGCTGCGGTCCCACCTGGCGCTCACCCCTGCTGCTGGCACCGGCCCTGCTTGCACCCACTGCTGGCGCTAGAGCCACCACTTACACCCACTGCCAGTGCCCAGCGCCAGCTCCAATTGCTTGATGCCATCAGTGGGGAAAGTGGAGCAGGTGAGTGGGGGCGCCAGACCAAGGCGGAGCACTGGTCGCTGTCATCGGGGCCACCCTCTGGTGGTTACTGAAAATTCTTTGCTCCCTCATGCTGCAGTCCTTCCCACCACTCGCACCTGCTGCCGGCACCAAGCGCTGGTCCCAATTGCTCTGCTATCAGCGGGTGTGAGCAGAGGCTGCTGGTCCCGATAGCTCCTGAGGGCTTCCCCACCTCTCCCTGCTCCTGAGGGGCAATCAGGGCAGCAGCCACCGCTCGCACCCACTGACAGCACCAGCCCTGCTCTCACCTGCTTTTGGCGCCAGCCCCAATCACTCTGTGCCATCAGTGGGTGCAGGCGGGGCCAGGTGCCCTCAGCACGTGGGAGCTGCAGCATCAGGAGTGGGGCTGCCAGCAGACAGGGGACCAGGGGCCATGCAGGGACACAGAGGATGGGCCGAGACCCTTCCCTGTGCCCACCACAGCCTCATGGCCTACAGTTCCTTTCAAAGTGCACACATTTGTGCACTGAGCCCCTAATCAGATATAAGCAGCTTTGAAGTCAGCAAAGGTTTTATTATCAGGGTGATAGGAACACTTTAGATTATAGAAGAACCTAAGCAGAGGCATGATGTGATTTCATTATATTTTTAAAATGCAACTCTGGCTGCTCCAAGGAAAATTGTGTCTGTGTTTTTGTCATTTGTGTGTGTGTGTGTGTGTGTGTGTGTGCACGCACATGCATGCAC